ATACGGTATATTTTATGTATAAACAAAAATACGCTGCTTAGATTGTATAAGCAAATAAATAATTCTTTGTTGAATCTAGTAAAGATTTATGTAAAATTTTTGAAATCTGAAAATGTCCCTAATGTAAGATATATTAAACTCGATATTTTTTATTGTAAACAAACTAAAGAAAATAAAGAGAAATGTTTCATAAATGCCTTACTCTTGATCCGGCACTCTGACGAGAATACTCCTGATATGTCTGTTTAGTGTACTACGTACACTCCTGAAATTCTGTTTTAGAGGAATTAGTGTTCTCCTGTTTAGTGTACTATGTACACTCCTGAAATCTTTTTAGAGCACTATTACTCTTCTGTTAAGGTTCGAGTCTCTTCGGTGATCTCGTCCTTTCTGTTCAGCTAGCTTCTGTTAGGGATTGGTACGTGTAGCTCCGGCGATTACGTTTCCATATCCTTTCTGGGTAATGTGGGTATGGACTTTATGTCCGTATTCCTTACCGTTAGTATTCCTCTGTCTAGGTCCAGTTTCTTGAGTACAAGGCTTAAATGAATTTATTAATAATATACCTCCGGATAAGAATTATTTGATAATTATGATATCTGAATATGCTTCTGATCTTATATGAATATTTTGATTTTCATGACAGTTATTCGGCTCACTCAGGTATGTCAATTGTTTGTTTGACTAGATGCTAATTATGATATGTTGTTATTTGATTTAAATATGTGATAATTATTATATTTATCATTATTGTTATGATTATCGTTATCAGTATTTGTACCGTACCACTCAGCACATTGCTGAGCGGGTAGTTGTTTGTTTTTCCTACCCGTAGGTTGAAGTTCATTCAGCTAAGATAAGGATGCTGGGATGGAAGGAGGCGTAGGATTCATGTGCATATCATGTGTGTATTGTTTATAAATAAACAAAGAAGAAGCAAGTTTGACTTTAAACTTATCTGATCATTTTCGTTTTGTAAACGCTTCCGCATATCTTGAAATATTTTGTGCTGTATAATATTAAGTGATTTATGGTGACTTGATATTTTCACGTATTGAACAATAAGTTGACGTTTGAATAAAGATATTTTATTTAAATACTAAATTTTGTTTTAACTAATTAAAAGTGTTTTATTTAAATCTGTTTTGATTTCTGCCACGTGACACACCGCTCGGGTCGGCGGGGCTGATTCGGGTAGGGTGTTACAGTTACCCACCCTCCTAGCGGTATCAACATTCATAAACATGTACGGCACATTGTGCACTTGCACCCAGAACTCTGCTTCGAACAAGTCCATTTTATGCGGTATATCATTAGGGCCAACTGCCTTTAGCATTAACAAATTCCGCTCAATTAACCAAGGACCATCCTCTATAACACGATTCATATCAATTTTGTGATTAAAAGTGAAAAGATACCTCTTTTCATCAATTTCTTGAACCGGCATTCCTCTCCCTGGCCTCCAGAGCGATACAAACAGTTCCTGAACTGACTGAAATCTGACTTTCCGGTCGGTGAGGATGACTCCCACCACCGAAAAATCTGCCGCCTTTGCCTTTTGAATGGTATTCTCTTCCTCCTCATCATCAAAATTCAGCCTACTGTTTTCTTTCTCCAAAGCCAAGCGTCTATACTGCTCTACCACATCCTCCATATTTGAAAAACTCGTCTGCCGAGATGTCCCCTCCGAAGCCGTAGCAGTTAGCAAACTGCAAACGTCTTCCCTACAACCCACGAACCTGCCGATTGCAGTAGACCCAAAACACCTAATCACCCTGCCTTTGTTCTGAAGTAATCCAAAGCCAAGGCTGAGAACGAGAAGGGAAAAACGAACTACACTAAGGCGGCCGGCGGAAGCCACCGAACCCTAGAGAGAATTTCTTGCAGCTTTTGGTTTAAAAAGCTAATGTTTTATATTAATTGATTACTCGATAAATTACATATTAATTAAAAACTATATTAAAAGTTTCAAAATTAAGTATATCTAAAAATATATTTATTTAATTATAAAAGGGTTTTGGGAGAGAATCCAAATAAGACGATAGTCATTTTTGAGTGTTTTTATAATGTAGTGGGTGAAACTTTATGCCTTTAAATTTCGACTGATTATATATTTATACACGGTAATAGATTATATAAAAATGTCATGAAAAATGTTCTTTATTAAAAATACTATTATAAAAGTATAAATTTATTAATTTTTTCATCTAAATATATTAATTGAATTAATGGATGGCTAAATAAAAAGGCATATAGGTAGTAAGTGATTACATTGAAAAATTTGTTAGGAAAAAGAATTCAATAAAATATAGAATATTAATTGCTCTATATAAGACTAAAAATAACCTAAAATGCACAAATAGGATCACTACATTTTTTACCATCCAAAATACTGAAATAGTACGGAGTACTGATCAATTCATTCCTACTAGAAATGCCTCTAAGGGTATTATTTCATAATGCAATGTTATAATTCATAATAAAATCTTAAAAAATAATAGAAAAATAAATAAATATTTTAAAAAAATAAAAAAAAATAGAAATTTAAAAAGAATAGTAAAAATCCATTAAAAAATATAAAAAAAATATGGATACCTTTCCCACCGTCTCCCAACACGACCACCTTTGATCGGTAATTCTGCCACTTTTTATAAAAAAAATCCATTTTTCCCGAAAATGCCAAGAAAATGACATTATTACTCTTCATAATGTCAAATTCTCATTGAATCTTCTATTATTATGGCATTACTAAAATTGTTAGTAGTTTTTTTATTTTTTTAAAAAAAAATAATTAACAATATAAAAAACTCTTAAAAAATGGTATCTCGAAAATTTGCAATTATTTATAAAAAATGACATTGTTTTCAAAATAATGGTATCTCGAAATAAAACAATGAGTTTGTGATTCATAAGCCGCAACATCTTTTGGAAAACAAGTATTCCTAATGCAAATTTTTATTTAGGTGCAAAGTTTTCACTTCTCATTACTTCGATGTGTTTGAGATACATGTTTAAGTCATTCAAAGCATATTGAGGATAATATTTTAATCCGTATTAAACATATTTGTACATTGAGCAATTTGGATTGCAAACAGAGCCTTAAAATTGTTTAAAAGTAACTTATTTCTTTCTTTGAAAGAAAAAGTAGCTTATTTAGTGACTAGGGATGTTTTTACTTGAACTGTAATTTGTCCAAGACCAGACCAGACCAGATCAGACCAAACCAGATCAGATCAGACCAGACTTGGAAAGTTATAAAAATACAAAGAGACCAGACCAGACCAGCAAATTACAGTCAAAGTAAAAACATCCTAGTTTTTAGTGATTATTATCAATACGGGAAATTTGTTGATTTAGTCCCATAACTAATAGCTATATCCGATATTAGTCCTGTAACTTTATTAACTTGCCATTTACATCCCGTAACTAATAAGTTGGTGCAATTTTGGTCCTTCTCTGCCGGAACTTATCAATTTCGTCGGAAAAAGACACATCACCTGCCACATGGTATATTATTTGGAACTCATTTGCTGACTCAATATTGGCCCTTAGCTGGAGTTAAAAAACCAGAGTACGAAAGCTCTTCGCTAAGTGCGTGCACAACCATACCAAGCCTATTATCGGATCTGCAAAAGGGGGGAAGAACATATAACTCTACCTGAAGATTTCTCCTGAACTAAGTCGAGAGAGTGAGTTATTCTCCAAATCTGCTAGTAACGACTCTCGACCAGAGAAAAGTTTATGGAGTGTGATTGTGGTAAAAAGGTTTCTCTTCTAACTTCTTGGACTGATAACGATCCTGGAAGGAGGTTTCGTGTGTGCGCTAGAAGCAGAGTAAGAAGTTCAGCCTTTTAATTTACATTGCTTCTTTTTTTACTAAATTAACTAGAAATTTAAGAATAGCATTTGAATAATAAATTTGTTTGAAAATTAAAATGTATTTTACAATTTAAGCTAGGTTCTGCTAATAAAATTACCATCTTCTATTTGTTGGGGGCATTTGATAATGTATTTTTGTGTTCAAAGCAGTAAAAAGTAAGTTAAGCTTCATCTTGTTTTGATACAGACAGAAGGTTGCAGATTTTTTGAATGGGCGGACCCACCTATGTGCCATCGTTGAACGATGATAATTCCGGAATTGGTTAGAAGACTCAATTCAAAAGAGGAAGAGGTTCTAAAGTTGAAGGCTAAAAATAAAAGGCTCCTCATAGTTGTTGTGGGGCTAGTGTTTTTGCTCCTGGTCTTTCTCATGTTAAAGATGTGAGAAGTGAGGATGATGTAAAATTTCAAATGTTTTATTCTTAAAACATGAATCCAAAAAGCTTTAAACTTCATTCAAAATGCTCCTGCTGCAACCAAGAAGAAATAATTTTTTATCTAGCTAAGGGTCAACATTGAGTGAGCAAATGAGTTCCAAATAATATAGCAAATAATAACATTGAGTGAAATAATTTTTTATCCGGCGAAATTGGTAAGTTCTGACAGAGAAGGACCAAAATTGCACCAACTTATTAGTTACGGGATGTAATCTGCAAGTTAATAAAGTTACAGGACCAATATCGAGTATAACTATAAATTACGGGACTAAGAGGCCGTTTGGCAGCACTGTTTTTTGGCTTATCAGGCTTATCAGCCAACTTTTTCACCAAACACGTAATTTTTACTTTCGCGCGCTGAGTTGTGTAATAAACAGAAAAAGTAAGGTTGGTGTTACTTTTCTGGCTGTTTTGGCTGAAGTTACTGTAGATGACCATTTTAGCTATTTTTACATATAATTTTTTATTTATTTTATTAATAAAATATATTTTAAAAATAATTGTTTCTTAAATCAGCAGAATCAGCCAATGCAGCCACTTCAGCCAGAACTTCAGAAATTTCAGCAGAAACAGCCAAAACAGCCGATTTGCGTGCTACCAAACGGGCTCTAAATCAACAACTTTTTCTTATCAATACACTATAATAACTTTATTAAGTGGTCATATTTTTAAAATGGTCATAAAATGTGTCAGTCGTCAGGAGTTGCTCCGGCGCCTGTTTCTCAGTCTGTTATGTCCTTACAGGCTTACACCAGAGAACACAATACGCTACTGAAAGATTAAATGATGTAAGGCGGGGAAGATAACAAAAGAAGAAACCATTAACAGCCACCCTTCACAGCCACCCCGTCTTATTTCTCTTCGTCGCTGTCTCTGATTACGCCACCTCCATCCCCTTCCCGCTTCCACTACTCGGTAAGCTATTTCCTTAATTTTAATTCTTAAAACTAAAACTGATTCATAATTTTGTGTCAGATTCATTTACTTTATTCCAGTAACAGTTTATCTTTTATGCTTCCTTATGGCGTTTGATATATTTTGTGGTAATTCTTCCAATGAAAACGTTTTTAGGGTTTGAAATGAATACTTCAAGAAAATATATGGATAACTATTTACACCTGTTTGATAATCGGCCAAGACGGACTGGTGAAACTGGTGCCCCAGTCACCTAACCACTTTCTAAACCAGAAATTGGTCGGAAATGGTAAAAACCTGATTGACCCTGTTATACCCGGCCCGTATCTGATTTGGTATAAATAGGTTGACGGAGTATAACCCGTTTTTTGTTTTTTGAGTAGTTAAATTGTCTCTGATATGAAAAAATTGCCATCTTAACATTGTAAAAGATTGAAAAAGTATGTGATATACATAGTTCTAGAAAGATAATAAATCCAAAAGTATCTCATATTTGTTAAAACTAAGTAACTTCGGAATATTATTATTAGTCCAGACTCCAGAATAGATATTAAACTTTATTTTAAAATATTGTAGTGTTCCGGATGCATATTCTGTATCATTTTTTTAAGAAATAAACTTATTTGTTAATGATAAGGGTAATAAGGAACATGACAATTAAGTCAGAGACTACAACGGGATGAGACATATAACTGAAAGATTGCCATGGACTTTTTCAGTTCGCTAATCCTGCATCAATGTAGACTTAAGTAACAACATTCCTACACCTGCTGCGCAAGACAAAGTTTAAAATAAAAAAAAAAAACATTTTTCGGCAACACATGAAAAAGCATGAATAAAGAAACCTGTTTCAACAGCCATTGGAAAGGAAACTGGGGTTTGACCAGTCACCACCAAAGGCAAATCTCCAACCTCTTCTATAGCACTTCTCACACCATCTTCATTCACCTCCCCCTCCCCTGTCCCACATTTTTACGATTGCTTAGTCTATATGTTAGGTGGTGATTTCTGACAAACACTGCCTTCTTCCCTTCTTTGTATCGTCACCTCCACATCAATACTACCCTAAATATCATCTGCATTATTGGATTTAACACTCGTTGCTTCCTGGGTTGATGGGGTTCTCCCCACCTCCGATTTCTACTGAAGAATTCAAGCTTCATTCCACTAGTTCACCCGCTACTTCATTGCCATTAGAAACCAGGCTTTCAACAATATGGCTCCCCGTCTCCTACGCCTTGGCCACTTGTTTCTACTTGGTCTCATTCTCATCTAAACTCATTAGCCACTTATTACGTGGATGCACCTGTCCTTGCCCACCCCCAGGTCCCATATGACTTTTCTCTAATTCAGAAGCCATAATAAATATTGGATGGACAAAAACGATCAACATGTCCTAAAACCCCGGAGATAAAGCAAAAACTTGGGAGTTTTTCATATCTAAAGTCTGCCCATAACCAATTTTCATCCTCCTTTTCAATACACTCTTGATATAAATATTCACCTTGATGCGTAAAATGGACCTCCATGTTGCTCCAAACGTTCATTTGTCAACCATAACAAGTGTTCCATTGAAGTTTCCCATACCAGTCGCAACCTTCTCTGTCATAAATCTCAGGGGTAGATTGTGTATGTGGACTATTAAATCAGCATATTCTAAGTCTACTTCGTGCAGCCTATCGGTCTGCCCAAGTCGTCTCACCACCACCAAGTTCTATTCAAAAGACCACAATCCCTCCCGGATCACCTAGTTGAATATCTCCTTCATGGTAGAATTGGATCAAGAATTTCGTGTTGCCAGTTTCCTCGATAGTAACTCCCTTGGCTGGTCGCCATACCATTGGCATTGTTACCCCAAACGCTATAGTACATTAGGACGAATATGTTTGTCTGTCAGACTGTCACGACTCGCGCCACTGCTGAGAACCTCTGTAAGTTCGCGTCCTCCTCACCGCCCATTATTGCTCCTCATTTGATGACCAATCCCCCGTTTCTTTTGTTGCTTTTCCATAGTAGCCACAAAAGAAACAACAACAACAACATTACCCCAGTGCCGCGAAGGCTTCCACCTACGGTGGGGTAGGGGTGGTCGGATGTACAAAAAGCTACCGTCCAAAGGGTGGACTAACTACAACCTGCTCACAAGGAGCGTATCACCCAAGGTTGTTAATATCGTATTTATAGATCCAATCGGTATAAGGACTTCAAAATTGAATCAGAAAATTGAATCGCAAATCGTAAGATTTTACTAAATAAATTAATTTTTAAAAAATATTTGATAAAATGAAATTCACAAGATAGCATAATAAATTAAGCAAAAGAATATAATGGCTTAAGCAAAATGCACAAAATAATCAATAACAAAATAAAATTATGTAATTAAAAGAACAAAAGTCATTCAACAAATAAATATGATGTTTTAACTTTTAAGCAAATTTCGCAATAAACTAATGATTGATAAGAATACATAAGCAGTACTTGAAATGTTTATTTTGAAGAAAACAATATCTGCATATAAACACTTAATAGCTCCATTATAAACAATTCTTAGTATTGAGGGGTTGGTAGTTGGTAAAGCTAAGAAATTGTAGTGAAACACTCGCAGGTTCCAAAGCTAGCCATGAGGAGATTTGTATTTTGTATTCTTGGGATGTTTTTACTTGGACTGGATTTTTTTGGTCTGGTGTGGTAAATGTTTGGTCTCTGTGTATTTTATAACTTTCCAAGTCTGATATGATCTGGTCTTGTCTGGTATGGTTTATTTCACACACTGGAAATGTCAAACCAATTTTCCCTCTTCTTGCCTTCTTGGCTTATATAATGTCGCCATGCCTTGAATCAGCTAGTAACCTACATGACGTCAGACATGTTAGAAGCCTGTGTAATTTGGGCTGTATTTTAATTAAAGCTTTTAGTTAACATGTTAGCAGGCTTATTAACGGCTCGAGTAAATTGGGTCACTTAGAACATGATTTTTATACGATTCAGATCGGCATAATACTTTTGAATCATAAAATCGTACAATTTTACGATTCAAATCACGATTTTGACAACCTTGGTATCACCCCCCTCGGCAAAGACAAATGTGCTAGACATGAAACAGAGAGGAGAAAAGAGAGAAGCTGACAGTGACTCAATTTATGAGAAAGAAAACACCTGAAGAAGAAGCCGCCAAAGCTTGCTCCCCCCTCGCCGATGCCCACTCTCAGCTATTGCTCCTCTAGCCTGCACAATCGGCAACCGCAATAGATCTTCCGCCTAGGATTTCCTTCATCGTGTATACTCTTATGATTTTTGTTTTCCACTATTAAGTATCATTATTATTATGTATTTCTATTTGATTTCTATCAATAACATTTATTGTTTATAGATATATATATGTGTGTGTGTGTGCGTGTGTGTGTAATATATATATATATATGTATGTATGTATATATGTACACACATATACATATATGTTTTTGTTGACCGGGCTGGCCTTTTGCTTTTGATTTCACCTGTTACCGGGCGACTTAGACTCCAGCCAATAGGAGACGACCGCGGCCCCTCAAATGCCGGGTAACCACGGAGCCGTGCTGAGTATCCATAAACCCTAGGCCCAAATGTTAACTGTAAATCCTAAATGCTAAACTCTAAAACCTAAGGGTATTTCAGGCTATTTTTTCCACACTAAAGATCATATACGTCCCAGATATGAAATAAAACATTGGCAGTCCTAGTGTTTTAAAATGCTAACTTTTAGTTCTATATAGAGTAATTTTCTGTATGTAATTTTCATTCTCATTGTGTTACAAGATCATACATATATATAATGGCCGATAAATATGGTCCCAATGATGATCATGAGGTGCACATTTCTACGCGTACTAAGGAAAGGAGGGGTCGCAAAAAGAAGAATGGTAAGAAAATAATTGAATGGGGATTTAATAAGCAAGCAGTTGGTAAATGGGCCGAAGAGTTCAAGACTTTCACCGGAAAGCTAGTTCGTGCTCATGTGAACATTAATATCAAAACCTGGAAAGAAGTTCCAACATCATTGAAAGAACATATGTGGCGCGAGATACGGGTACACACATTAATGAGCTATGAAATGAATGTTTATTTCAGCTTTAATATAAAATATATTAACATTTTGTTGGTTATACAATAATGCAGCGTGATTATTTTATCGAAGATCATATGAAAAAAGTGATTTACTCAAAGTTGGCTAAGCTTCATCGAGATTGGCGCAATAAAATGAGAACCGGATATGTCTATAAGACTAGGCCAGTGGGACAGAAAAATGGCGAGGCTTATGACAAATACAAAGACCAAATCACAAAAGAACAATGGGAAGAGTTTATGGCTAGGAGTATGACTTCGGAGTTTAAGGTATATATTATACTTGTATACCTTAAGACATCATGATTCTCACCTCAATATCCAGTAGTTGAATATATTTTATGTTACTGATCACATAACAATTATATTTTGTAGACTTTAAGCGAGAAGAACAAACAAGCTGCCTTAATGAACGAATACAACCACCATATGGGTCGATCAGGATATGCATTATCCATCCCCAAATGGAAAGAGCAAGGCTTGTTAGATCATTTTATGCCTGCCTCTGAGGTAGTGTCTACCAATTCGAGTGAGCAAAATGCCGACAAGTATCCTAGACATGTGTACTGGTTTTGTGGGAGAGCAAACTTGACCCAAGATGGACAATTGAACTTCCCGGGTAATAGTGAAGGCATGTGGGCAAAAAAAGAGAAATTAGTAAGTCCAATTTGCTTAGTGTAATTGCGTCATTTTAAACTAGTTTTTTTTTACCATAATCATTTTAAAGTTAGAAAAACAGTAATTATGGTCCTAACTCCTAAGGAATGATGTAATTAAAATAATATTGATTTGCTTATCCGTTGGAATAGAAAAATGTGCAAGAGGTAATGGCTGCGGGTACGTGGGCTCCGAATGGGCGCCATGATATCTTGTCTGAGGTCATTGGCCAGCCTGACCATCCAGGACGCGCACGAGGTGTTGGTGGTGTTGTGGGCTATACTCATTTATTTGAGCGAGAGTTGAGAAGTGCACGCCCTGAGAAAAAGAATAATTTAAATGATGAGCAATTAAAGCTTTTGCAAGAGAAATGGCGAAAAGATATGGATGAGTTCTTTACTGCGCGAGGTTTTCAGGCTCGTTTCACTTCTACCTCAGTGCACTCTGAGTCTGTGGGTTCTCCATCACCATCAATTCCACACAAAAGTTTCAAAGTAAGAATTTTGTTTTATAACACTAAAAGTTAATGGATATTTTAGTTGGCTTTTTACTAAGTTATTATTTGTTGTAATATAGGATGGTACATCATGTCAAGTGTGTGTAGAGTCGAGTACATGTGCGGAAGATGAGACCTTAGACACTGTGGCCCGTGCGTTGGCTTACAATCCAGGTCCCGAAGGCACTTTGTGTGATGCTCCCATTTCAGGGAGCACTGTGAGAGTGAAAATCTCTATGGTATGTGATGGTTTTGATCAGTGTCTGCTTCCCATTCCTAATGGTAATGCACAAATCACTGTTCTGGCCGATGCTATTGGTACCTTTGTTCAATGGCCAGCTCACTTGGTAGTTTTTGGTGGAGAGGTATTATATTCAATGATTATTATTTTTATTTAAAAAAATAATATTATTACAAAATATAACTTTGACTGTATTATTATTCATTTCAGGAACCACTGCCACTGAAGACAGTGAAGAGGGATAACAAAAAGAAACCAGAGAAACCATTTGTTCCAAGACAGCCCCCTAGAGAGATGTATTCTATCACTAAATATCCACTTGTCAACGATGATACTTTAAAGACACTCAAAGGCGATATGTTGGAGATGCATGAGACATTGAAGTACTTTAAACCTGAGTTTTGTAAGTTTTCATTACCTCAATCCTCAGAGTTGTTCCACTACAACTCAGTTGATGATATGTTTGGCTCCGTCATTGAGCGTAAGGATATAAAGGAGTTCTTAGAATGTGACAGCATCAATATGAGTATAATATTAGCTTTTCTAGTGTAAGTTCTCTATATTTACTTCTTTGATATAGTGAACAGCTTCTAAACAAACCTATGAATGTTAATGTAAATAATTCTCCGTTTTTTTTAATGAAGTTGTCTAAATGCAAAACTGGAAGAAGTTGATGTTGATGGTATTGCCTTCTTGTGTCCATCATTATGCTCTTATGCTTATTTTGAAAGCGATATGGAAGGCGTTACATCATATCTAGTGCAAAATATGAATGCTCTTTTTCATAAAAGGTTGATTGTTCTTCCATATAATCAAAGGTACAAATTCAACCGTATATCTTTTTATTTCGTATTTGAAATACACACACCTGCTCTTTTGTTTGTATATACACTAAGCATCTATTATAATGTTTTGTGACCTCTAGAGATCATTGGCTATTGGTCGTTATTTGTCCAAGCGTGAACAAGTGCTATATCCTTGACTCTCTCCCGGGAGAATGCGATATGAGTTGCTTGAAGAAAAAGTTGTCATTGTAAGTATTATTAAAGAAAATACACTTTAATTCACCGACTATCCTTGGATTTTAAATTGTAATTTGTATATGTAATTACTATTTGAACTTGTGTTGTAGAGCATATAAGGTTGCTTTTGTGCACTATGGGAATGGGAAGTCAACCGAATGGCAATACCTTAAGGTTATCATTGTATATAAGATATGATAAAAAATTATCACCATGAATTGTAAAGTAATATGTCTATTTTAAAATTAATAGCTATTTTTATTTTATGATTTGTCAAATAAAGTGTGCAAGACAAATAGGGAGGGCATCATGTGGGTATTATTTGATGCGCTTCATGTGGGAAGTGTGTTTCTCATTACAAGGTAGCGACGATATTGGAAAGGTATAACTTTTATGCCAATTAGTAACTATTGTTTTGTGTAAGCATTTTAGTTGTTACTTGACTTGATTATTTAAAAGCTTATTATAACTGTTTATTTCAGGACTGGATATCAAGAGAAGAACCGTATTCAATCGTTGAAATTGATGAAATGCGTAATATGTGGTGTAGGCATTTTCTAGATATTATTATGGAACTTTAGACTGGATTTAGCCATGCGAACAAGACATGCATATGTAGTATGATCCATTTGGTTTAGTAGCATGTACTATGTGTCTGCTATGTTAATTGATTGGTACATAGGGCAGTGTTGTCCCCTTGGGAATCTGTTATATATATATGACCATGTACTAGCATAATGTATGAAAGGGTTCGTTTGTTCATGCATATTACACTTAGCTCTTATCCAAAATTCCAAATCTAATGGAAATATTTAAAGCTCAGTTGCCAAGTTTTTCCGTTTTATTAGTTAACATTTTTATCAAATAAAGTTTTTTATTTTGCGTGCTGAATTGTGTGTAATAATCAAAATAAATAAGGTTGAAGTTTTTTAATTATGTGAAGTTCATGGAGAGGCCAATTATATCTTTATATCATTTTTTCTTAATTTTATTTATAAAATATGATCTGAATATAATTTTTGACTATTCTGTTATTTTTAGATTCAGTCAAATTTCAATCCAACAAGTTGTGGACTGTTATTGTAGTGGGGTGGTTACATGCATAGATACCTACGTGTGGTTAATTATTCCATTCGTCGTACTTGATGCAAGTTTCAACTGCACAGACGTTACTCTATTTCGATCAAACTGCCCCTTTCCTTCCTACTTGTAATTAATTCCCTCATCATGACACCACCATCATCAAGTAAAAACAGGAACTGGTTAATGGGAAAGCAGGCGTGCAAAGTGGTGATGGGGGTGCTGATTGCCGCTTGTTGGATGGACCCAAGAGCATGTGGGGTGGTGGAACACAGGGTGGGGGGAGAGGAGTGGGGGTGGACCATCCCTCCCCACCACCACTTCTACGGCAACTGGTCTTCCTCCCGCTCCTTCCGGCCGGGAGATACCCTTCTGTTTGACTTCGACCCCGTCTTCTACAACCTCATCCAAGTCTCCAATAGGGAGTACGATGCCTGCACCGCCAATCAGCCGTTTCAGGCCTTCACCGACCACGCTCCACCGCTCATCATCCCTCTCAGGGAATCAGGTGTCTTCTACTACCTTTGCAGCCTCTTGAACTACTGTTCGTTGGGCCTCAAGCTTAACGTCTCCGTCCAGCCGCCCACCCCCTCCCCTCTTCCGCCGCCCAATGGTTAAATGGTACGTCATATATGGGTCGATTTCCTAGCTATCCGGAGAGAGAGCAGATATACTGTATCTGTCTTGTAATAAATGACTCCCCTCTCTGTTCATTCTAGTATGCATGGTTAATAGTTGATTCCCTCACTGCCTAAATGATGATACATTTTCTCCAATGCTCTGTATTGAAATATTATGTTTTCTCATTATATAACTCTTTTCTCTCCAATTAAAGATCTAAATTTGACTCTGCATATTTTTAAGACTTCGGGGGTGTTTGGAACTGATTCTGCTTCTGCTTCTTTTTTAAAGCAGAAGCAGAATCAGAATCAGTTTTCAGAAGCTGGTACCCCCCAGTTTCTAAAAAAACTGATTCTGAGAGTAAATTAGAGCACCAGAAGTACTTCTGGAATTTCACTCAAACACTCCAGCTTCTGCTTCTGCTCCCTGAAGGAGCAGAATCAGTTTTGAGAATCAGATCCAAACACCCCTTCCTCTTGTTTTAGTTTTCCCTTACTTTTCATGTTTTACTTTCTACTCATCTTCTCCTTTATATATTTTCATCTTATATTTGACCTTTTCTATACAATTTACTATTACTAAAATAAAGCATGCGAATCCTAAATTTGAAGCTCTCACGAAGGAAAATAGGAACTTGGGTTGAAACACTGTCCAAAAAACTCTCCACTTTATTGGTGGAAAAAGTTGATTGATCTAGCTATTTAATAGAGACCTCACAACATTTTTCTTCATTCAAGTGAATGGTTTTAAACGATATTGTTCATAGACAATCCACAATATTCCCCTTTGCACTCGTATTAATAATGTGCTCAGTGTATATTATTTACAACTATTTTTTTTACAATGCACGTAGCATTCAAAAATGTATTGCCATTGTAAAGTAGAGTATTGAGTTATCTATTTTTTATAACTAAAAACTACATTATGAAACCAGCACAGTTAGGTTTATCACATACTATATCAAACCAAATGTTACATATTGGAGACAGTATTTCCTTTTGGGTTCAGCTAAACCACACGCGTAAACAACTCAGGCCTAGCAGTTTTTCTTATACATCACTAAAAATTGTTTTTTCATCTCTACAATATAAAAATTCTACGAGTTCTGTGTAGTCCCTCTATAATTACAAGCATGAAACACCTATATTTGGAACATAATTTCGTTTGCATAACCCTAGTCTAAAAACTCTCTCATTGAGTTGTTTGTAAGTTGCATCTGTTTATAAAGACAATAAGTCGGGTTAAAACTACATAAAACTAATCATTCAATTTTTTTTAATATCAGTCTAAACGGCTCTTGAGAAATAAAATTTTAATTGTTTGAAATTTGAATGACTTGAGAAAGAAAGGCACAAAGTCTCTTCTCCATGTCCATTTTGTAGCCATCCAACATATGTTAGTTGCTTGTGCAAGTGATCGATTAGAAAGAGAACAACATAAATTACATAAGGTGAAAAGTCAATAATAAAATACAAGGACTTGAAATAGAAAACTTCATATTTGAAGATCTCAAAACTATATTTAAGTCAATAAAGAATGATACATCTTTCTCTATGATCAAGAATAATAATCCTCAAGAGTTGTGATTGCAACTTTTGTTTCTTAAGAAAAGGGACTCCTCCCTAATTCACTTTTTTACCCAAAAACAGAATTCAATCATTGCTCTAATATCAACAAATTACAGTTTAGTTTGTATGTACATACAGCAAAGGAGGCGGAAGGGGATACACTACACTTTCTTGAACAGTTAACCTTCAATAGCTTCAAAGTGATTCATACAAAGGACAATTTCGACAAAAAGGGCAAGTAGGGCGACGCTTGAACCAAATGTCAATGCAATTGACATGGAAAAGATGTCCACATTTAGGCAATACCCTGACAATATCATCATCCTCATAATCTGCTAGGCAAATACAACACTCTGAAGAGGAGTAATCAGAATCCTTCTCATACTCCTTCACCTCTGAATAAAGAAGCTTTGGGTAGCTATCCAAGTACACCAAAAACATTGATTCACCAATGCTTATTATATGCTCCTCTTCACCATCCACTCCTGTGGTGGCAGCACTTCGGTGTGCGCTGTCCCCGGGATCACCTTTAACACATTTGTATACAAGAAAAGGGAGGATCACAAGAACCGCTAGGATGCCTAGCGAAAACCCAATGCTGTAACACAAACTTTCCCTGTGTCCTACAACTTCATAGGAACCTCCACTAGCTACCATTGTGTTTGTGTAGTTATATTCCATCTTCTCTCAATGGGTTGTATTGGTAATTAAAAAAAGAATACTATTAGCTCTAATATCTTCTCTAAGTGTTTCTAATTATATGATACCCCGTAACTTAGGCCCAAGACTCAAGCAACTTATAAGAATCTTCAAAAGTTAATCTTGTCAAGTTTGCATCTTTCTTGCTTTTGATTTAGTTATTATTAGTACAAACTTTTACGAATGTAAGCTTTGTTAGAATCCAAAATTGGAATATTGAAGTGATAATCATGCGTTATATGACTTCTTTGCTCCCTCTGGTGCCGGCCAATAGTTAAACAGTAAGGATTGGAAAAAGGCTTTCCTAATTTTGGCTTATTTCGGATATGGAGCTATAATAAATACAGCAGAAAAACGTCAAAATAGTGCATTTAAGTAATGGTCTGTATGCAAGAGCTTAAAAGAAGCGCTTCTCACTTTTACTTTAAAAAACTAAAATTATTGTTTTCAAGTGACGACATCTACTTAAAAAAACTGCTTATGGACTTTTGAGTGAAAAGTGCCTTTTACTTTTTCTATTACACACAAAACACTTATTTTACCAAACACTATCAACTTTTACTTTTGAAGATCACTTTTTTCTCAAACACTATCAACTTTTACTACTAATCACTTTTTCCAAAATCACTTCAAAAAGTGCTACTCCCTCCGCCCCGCAAAGTAGTCTCCTTTTGGAAAGTTTTGTGTGGTTTCACATTCATTTACCTTTTTCTTACGCAATCACAACCATACATTTCCACTTTATTCTCACTTTTTTAAACTCCGATCCAAGTCAATGCGGGAACCATTTTATGAGACGGAGGGAGTATTTTTTTGAGCAAAAGCATTTGCATACACTCAACTCTGACGCACAAAAAGTACATCATTTTGCACTCAACATTATAAAGTACGTTAATGTGTCACAACTCACAACTATGGTTACTTCCATTCGATAAATGCAAAATAGTTCATTAACATGCATCATGTAATCATGTATGCATAGAATGTTGACTTGAACTAAGCACGGGGCGGGGCGGACCTGACCCGTTTGATTCACAGGGCGGGGCTAGGGATGGACCCGGGCCGGTCCGGTTCCGGGCCGGGCCCGGGCGGGCTTTTTTTCGGGTTACATGGGCCCGGAACCGGCCCGGGTTGATACCGGGTCCGGGCCTAACCGGGTCCGGGCCTAACCGGGCCGGGCCGGGCCGGGCCCGGTTCAATGTTTTTTTTTTTTTTTTTTTTTGACTTTCTTGTTATCTCCCTACCCCCCCCCCCCTCACCCCCACGTCCCAAACCTCCCTAAAACACCCAGCCCTACCCTAGGAAAAGAAAAAAAAATTGAAAAAACCAAAAAAAAAAAATGAACCGGGCCCGGCCCGAACCGCCCGGGCCGGTTCAACAAAAATAGGGCCCGGAACCGGCCCGCCCGACCCGCCAACACGGGCTAAAAGCCCAGAACCGGCCAACCGGGCCCGGTCCGGTCCGGGCCCGCACAGTAGCGGGCCGGTCCGGTTCCGGGCCGGTTCGGCCCGGCCCAGTCCATCCCTAGGCGGGGCGGACCCGCTCAAAACGGGGTGGTGCAGGGCGGGGTGGTGTTTTTTGCCATTCCTACCCGTACTCGTAGCCCACACCACCCCCTACCCCCAGGTCGGGCCCCGGTCCCGGCCAGCGGTCCGGGTCAGGACTGCACAGTGCCAGCCGGCCCCCGGGCCGACCCGCCCCACTGCACTTGATCATAAATGGAAATTCCTTAAAACTTCAATTACCACCAGGGCACCAGGTCCGCCATTGATTGATTCAGTGAATTGCAAAAAATGAAACAAAAAATAACGTTAAAAGATAGATAATTGGAAAACTACATGCATCTTTTAGACTCCAAAAATCTTGAAATTGAAACATGGCTTACAATATCAATTAGTTCACACTACAGAGAAAATTTCCCAGAACATAAAAAATATCATTCCAAACACCCACCCACCATCCAAACTCAAGCAGAGAGGAAAGAGAATGGTGGATGGGACTAGAACCCTTACGAACTGATTTAAAACCAAATACTTTTCCTATAAAAATCACTGCTGGGCGCATTGGACCCTCTGACCACCACCATGCATATCTTCATCTTCATCATATGCCTCTTGTGCTGCCTGCTGCTGCTTCCTGCGCATCTCTTCTTCTATGTTAATATCATGCAAAGTGGTTTCCTCGCATTCATCCAATTCCATATCAGTAATTTGCTTTGAAGTCCTTGGAGGAAGCACTGCTTCGAGGGCCTTGCACTGTTCAGGGGATAAAGAGTCAGGGAAATCCACTGTGAAATGAATGTATAGCTTCCCTTTAATAAATGGCCTCTGGTACATCGGCATTCCTTCATCATTTATTGCCTTGAACTGATCTGTCAAAACAAATAAAGACCAATAGAAAAAAAGATCAGGACAACGTACAAACGAATGCACCCTTTTCTCTTGGGGTCCGGTCAAACTTATTAAAAGCGACAAAAAGCGTCAAAAAGCAAGAAGCGTAAGCGAGCGATGGAGTATCGCTAAGCTTTCCAAAGGCGATGCCCTGTGAGAAAGCGTCGCTTTCTGTGGCTTTTTCGTGAAGCGAAGCAGAGCTAAAGCGACCGCTTTTCATGGCTTCTCACAAAAGGCGTCCGGTCAACGAGTGCCAGAAGACTTTTTTTTTAATTTTACTTTACCTAGGGTTAAGATACACAAATAGGCCCCATTTGTTTGAAGCCTCTTTCGTTCCCATTCGTTCGAAAACTTCTACGGGTCTTCTCCAGAGCTGCGACAAACTCCAGTTCTTCTTCAGAGGACTCCTCCAGAGCTGCGCCAGAGGATTTCTCCAGACCTTCGACAATCTTCGTTCCCTTCTCCATCGAATACTGCTGAGGTAGTCTTCGTTTAATTTTTTTCAATATTCGTTTATATATGCTGAGGTAGTTTCCTTTTCCAAACAACAATTTTGAGGTAGTCTTCGTTTTTACTACTGAGGTAATCCAAATAGCTATACGGCTATACCTCCAATAAGAATGATCAACGATGATATTTGTTTACTCTTTCACTTTTAATTTTCTCTTTAATTTGTTTTAATTTTGTGTTGTTTAATGTTCTGTACTCTGTCTTTTTAGATTCTCCACAGTTGTATACTCTTCTTCACTTTAAATTTTGTGATTGATTTGTATTAATTTTGTATTTTCCAGTGTGTGTTTTATTGAGCTTAAGATAATATATTACTAATACTTGGTAAAAAATGGTAGACAATATGTTGTAAACCGTAAATATATAAATATTTACACTTATGCATTTATGACATAAGTATACATTATATATTATTGACTACTTATGCATTTATGACATAAGTATATATTATATATTATATTTTCTTTAATTTTTTTAAGCATCGCTTTTTGTGAGAAAGCTTCGCTTCGATTAGCGCTTTCGCTTTGAAGCAAAGCCCGGGGTCATCACTTTTGGACGCTTTTCGCTTTAAAAAAGTTTGGGTCCGGTCCCAAAACGATTAGGGTGCACACTTGGGTTACCTTGTAGTATTGTTTATACTTGATTGAGGTACTGTAAGAATAGCTTACTAATATAGTTACTATTATTATGACTTTTTCCCTAAAATAATCTTGCATCAACTTAAAGTGATTCCCTCTTGAAATTTCATTTTTTCGCTTTTCATGTTCATAGCTTCTCAGGTCAGTTATCAAATAAATCAACCACACTTTGTATTAATGTTTGCTTGGCAACTCAAGAAGGGCCAAACTTTCATTTTTTCACTGCTCATGTTCAATAGCATCGTTTCTAGTTTTGATCCTCTCAAGTCAGTTAGAAAATAAATCAACCAAACTACGTATTAAAGTTTGCTTGGCAAGTCAAGAAGGGCCAAAAGTGGCAAGCAACCCGTGTCATAAACCAAATGAAAGACAGTTACCAAGTGAATGCTAAGCTAATTGTTAAGGGGCTGAAGTGGATAAGTTTACCAGTTTTTTATATGTAGGGATACAATTCATCAGGAATATCAGTTTCAAACAAAATCCCAAACCAATGAACTTAATCTATTTCGACTTACCAGGCTTAACAACTTCACCAGGCTGTGACTTAATGAGGAGCTGTCTATTATCCAGGTGTGTCAAGATAAACTGGAAACCACAAAGTGCCTCAGTTAGGGACAATGTGTGCTCTACAAAGAGGTCATCTCCCTTTCGCTTAAACTTGGGATGTTCTTTTTGTTGCAAGACAAACACTATGTCTCCAGTGAGAGTATCAGGCTGTGAACAAAGTTGCACTATCAGATAACAGTGAAAAGATCATGTATTAAAAAATATGATAAAAAACGAATTCACTTACAGCTTCATCAGCCTCTCCAGGGAATGTAATCTTCTGACTGTTTTGCATTCCTTTTTCCACAACAACTTCCAAAACCTTCTTCTCCTGCACTACCTTCTCACCCTTGCACTGGGGGCACCTGTCTTTGTCATTAATCGTCTCACCAGTACCCTTACACTCATTGCAAGCATGCTGCATCTGCTGAATCATAGATGGGCCAAGGTGTCGGATAGAAACTTTCATCCCAGACCCTTGACAACCAAGACATTTAGTTGAAGCCCCTGACTTAGATCCCTTCCTGAAAGCATAAGAACAGGTTCAGATCGAGACAAGTAAATAGGAACAGTGCCAAATCTTTAAAAAGCTTGTACCTTTGTTCTAGAAAAGTACATGGTAAAAACTACTCGTATAAAAGATTAAGCACCATTCTAACTTCACATGGGAGGCCATCACTAGGTCCCCCACCTTTCTCTCCGTATAGACAATAAACCTAGAGATACACGCAAATAGTATAGACAGTGACAATATTTACCCCTTGCACTTTGCACATAGAACATTACGAGAAAGAGAAAGCTTCTTTGATGTCCCATTGTAAAGATCTTCCAATGAAACTTTGAGAGGATGAACAACATCTTCACCCCTTCTTTGCCTACGGCCTCTGCTGCTCCCACCACCTGTTTCCATCAGATATTGCAGACAAAATATATATTAATTAGCTAACTCAAGTATGCTGAGGACTTGATAAAACATCCGAGCAGATCAGCAATTATTGAGTCAAACAAGAGTCACTTTTGAACTTCCAGTACAGCACTTACCACCAAAAGGACTGCCTCCAAAGAATGACTGAAATATGTCAAATGGATCGTGGCCACCTCCACCACCTCCCATTCCTTCCTTGAGGGCTTCTTCACCATATTGATCATAAATTTCCCGTTTCTCTGGGTCACTCAAAACCTCGTATGCTTGAGAAATCTCCTTAAACTGAAAGGGGGAAACATAAGTAATTATATATACACCACCAGAGACATTCAATTAGCTAAATAACATATAATTATTGCCATGATGGATGAGTAAGCCATTGGCCAGACACACTGACTAATGACGTTAATTTTAATTTGTATTTTTTCAATCTCTAGAATAATTGTGAGGTGAAATAATTGTAGAAAACGTGTAAAAAGGGTGATAACAATCTGTTTTCCGATTGTAGCGCATCATATGGTATGTGACAACAAATACTAATGACTAAATTGCTTTATTATATTTAAGATATGCGAAATAATATAAAGAAGGATGATCGGGAATTTGTGGTCTTAGATTTGAAACAGCTTCTTTGACTACCATTATTTTGAATACTCGAAAACTTGATCTAACCAAGATTTTGAGTGCATTATTAGAAGATAAAACAATTGAAGAATTGGACTAGTAATAATTTGAAGGAAGCTCATAAGCAAACATGAAAATCAATTACTAAAAGATTAAATGCAGTGTGAAAGTCGGTACCTTTTCGGGATCTCCGCCTTTATCGGGGTGGTTCTTGATGGCGGCTTTCCGGTAGGCCTTCTTGAGATCGTCTTGGGAAGCATTCTTCGTGACTCCCAGAACATCATAGTACTTGGTGTTGTCGCTCTTCTTGGGTGCCCTGCCAAACATCTTTGATCTTCACAGATCGCTTTCACAAAGATGAAATCAAACCTACAACAGTAATCAACCGATCAGTTCGATCTATTGCTCAATACTTTCAAATTCGCATCATGATACGAATAACACAGGAGTGATAAAGCTGACCGATGGGAAACTGGGAGAGGAGGAAAGGGGACTTCAGCTTCAGGCCCTTTCAGTGAGAGAAAGAAAGAGAGTTAGGGTTAACGTCGAGCCTGTTATTTTATAAGGGGCGTATTCAAAGTCGAGATGGGATGATGACGATCGACCAAAAGAAGAATCTAGAACCCAAGCCCATATTGATTGTATAGGAGCATGAGGAATAGGAAACTGCGACTCATGCCTTAAATGTATGGAAAATGTTAGGGGTACACAACTTGTACACACAATGTCGGTCACAGACAATTGGTATGGAGTTGTTTGTGACCACAGACAAGAGTTGTCTGTGCACACAGACAAATTTTGTCTGTGTCCACAGACATTTATTTTTTTGTAAAAAGTACTTGTCAGTGTCAGACGGCTCTCAGTGTACTTTTTACAAAAAAATAAATGTCTGTGGAAACAGACAAAATTTGTCTGTGTACACAGACAACTCTTGCCTGTGGTCACAGACAACTCCGTACCAATTGCCTGTGACCGACATTGTGTGTACAGGTTGTGTACAACTTGTGTACCCCTAGCGTTTTGCATTATATCGATGAATTTTGCATTATTTCAATTAATTGAGAAATAAGAATCTTAAAAATTGTTTCGCAAAAAAAGATTATTAAAAATTGTGTGACTAAGTTTGTTCAGAACAGAGAAATGAGTAGAATCACAAAGTAGTTATTTTAATGAATCGATACATGATATCACCAGCAAAAAGAAAAAGAAAGAAAATAAAGATAAAAAAAATAAACTATTATGAAAAAGATAATACAAAAAGAGATGAATAAACCTAAAAATGATAAAATAAAAAGGATAAAAATAATGTTTATATATATAAGGATAAAAGGATAAAAAAAAATGAGGGGAAAAGATAATATGAGATCACTCCTTCACACGAATACCCGCCCTCGATTTTACTCTCTCCAAAAGCCATACATTCGTCTAACCCAAGAAGAAGCATATCACTTCGGACTCCCCTAACTCACGTCTGTTTGGGTCTTCCTCTCACTCTTTTCACTGCTTCTTCTCCACACATCTCAACTCGTCTGAGAGGTGCATCACTCGATCTTCTACGCACATGACCAAACCACCGTACGCGCGATTCCCGCATCTTGTCTTCAATAGGTGTTATTCTCACCCTTTGTCTGATTGTCTCATTCCTCGTGTGGTCCTTCATAGTATGTGCACACATCCAACGCAGCATGCGCATCTCCGCCACACTCATCTTTTGAATGAGACATTGTCTTTAATATATCAAAGCAAAAATATGTATAAAAACTAATAATATTATATTTGAGTGTAATTTTTTCTCTATAATAAAGATAATTTAATACTCCCTCCGTCCCTGAAAATTGTTCCCTGTTTCCTTTTTGGGCCGTCTCAAAAAATTGTTCCTCTTTCCCCTTTTGGAAAGTTTTTTGTGACTACAATTCATTTACCTTTTTCTTACTCAACCACAACCATACATTTTCACTTTATTCCCACTTTCATAAACTCCGTTCCAAGTCAATGCAGGAACAATTTTCCAGGACGGAGGGAGTATTTTTCATAAAATATAATAGAAATAGGGAAAATCGCACTTTTAGTCCCTGAAATAGTCATCATATTGAAATGTCAGACCCGTATTTTCGAAATTGTAAATGTCGCCCTTCAAATTGTCCAAATTGCTGTAAATGTGGTCCTTTGAAGGCTGAAATGTACTCTTCGCCCACATTGTACATTTCATCCCTCAAAGGACCATATTTACAGCAATTTGGACAATTGAGGGTTGACATTTACAAATTCGAAAATACGGGTCTAACATTTCAATATAGTGACTATTTCAGAGACTAAAAGTGTGTTTTTCTCATCGAAATATATGTATTAAGTATTCAATATTCTACGAAATGTGTATTAATATTTAATGGAGTATTACTAAAATTACTTTGAAATCTCTACTATAATGAATAAAAAGAATGAATAATAAGTAAAGTAATAAAATAGAATAGAGAACTTGAAGAGTATGTACTATGTAGTGTTCAAATATTCCAATTATGTTTTATGAAAAATATTGAATATGGGATTAAAGTTTTAGTAGAAATAAGATTAAACTCAGATATAACATTATTAATGTTTGTATATTTTTTTGTTATGATATATTAAAAAAATAACACAAACTTAACATCACTCTATTAATTTTTGTAAAATATTCAAGTATATATGGATATCATTGTGAACTTTTCAAATAGAGATTATTTTTGTAAAATTTGTATATACGGATATTATTGGTGTTAATTTCACCTTAAACAAATGACATTATGCAATTGATATCTCGCTAATATTAAAATATGAGACATTTTATTGTGACGAATCAAAATGAAAAGTTGTGATAATCTTAAAAGGATAAGGGTAATGCGAGTACTAAATATAGTAACAACTTATTCTAAAAAGGATACGAGTTCCTTGCGCAGCGATAGAGAGCCGGCCCTAGGGGAAACCCTAGGCGGCCATCCCCAACCCCCTTCAAGATCCGATTTTGGAAGATGAACGACATTCTCTATGCAATGAAAGATCGAATCAAAGTTTTTTCTATGCTTTCGCTCTTTTTCAAATTCTATTTTCAAGGAATTTGGTCTGGCATCTTCATTGGCCGAGAATTTTGTCCGCTTCATGTGAGTTTGTGATATGTTATTCTCGTAGCAATGTCTAGAGGTTGTGCGTTTCTAATCGGTGTAATCGATTTGGTGAAACTTTTTCAACCTTGTTGTTCTGATGTTTCAAATACTCGTCCACCACCTGAACCACCGCCTCACTTTGGGAAGAAGAAGTTGATCAAGCGGATCTCCTTTTCGGTGGCTGGTCAAACCGATGCTTCAAGAAATTTCTACTCGACTGATTTCCCTTTGTTGGTTTCTGGTCAAACCAATTCTCCTTTTTCAGTGGCTGGTGAAGTCGGATCTATTAGTTGTAATTTTTTAATTTCTCTTTGAAGTAGCAAGAAGATCAGCAAGGCTATTAGACTAGACTACATTATTGCGGGGTTAGCAATCTGGAAGGATTCATTGAATCTGTTTCTTTCTATGTCTCATCTCATTATAGCTCAGGCTATTCATTCTCTTGTATTTTTGCTATCGCTTAATTATAAATTAATTATTTGATTTTTTAAAAAAAAATACGAGTACTAAATATGATATGAGATAATTTTTTAAATGTTAAAACAAGACAAGATTAAAGATATTAAGATAGGGGACAATGTGACTATTCAAAACCTTTTTTCTCTCGGTTTCTTTTTTCTCCCTACACAACTCAACTCTCAAGGCAACCGGACATTTCTTTCTCCCTGGACGACGTGTCACATCGGCTGATAACACGAAGTCAAACTCGTAGCCTGAAGATGACCAGAGAGGCCTGCGGCAACCTAGCAGCAGCCACCCCTCCATTTAACGATGATTTTAAGCACTCACCACATCAGCATCAATCTTTTTCTTATAGCAAAGAGAAATAGAGAAAGAAGTAGGCGAATGTAGGGCTGGACTCGGGCCGGTTCGGGCCTGGGCCCGGCCGGGCCTCGGGCCAGGAAAGGGGAGGCCCGAGCCCGAACCGCCGGTGGCCGGTTCCAGTTCCGGGCCAAACCGGGCCGGGCCGAACCGGGCCGAACCGGCCCAATTAATTTTTTTTTTTGTTCTCCTATTTAATCCTCTACCCCTCCCCCTCAACCCCAAACCATCCCAAACCACCTCAAATGGCCCAAAATACCTAATCCAACCTAAAACTTAAAAAAATTTCAAAAAAAAAAAAAAAAATTTAAAATCCGGCCCGGACCGGGCCTGAACCGGCCGAGCCGGTTCACCAAACCGAACCGGTGGACCCACCGGGCCACGGGCCGGGCCGGGCCAAACAGTGACCGGGCCGGTTCGGTCCCGGGTCGGGCCGCCCGGCCCGAGTCCAGCCCTAGGCGAATGCAGAAGCAAAAGAAGAGGCAATTGTGATTTGTGAAGCCATAGCCCCCTGCCTTGCGTTGAAGAAGAAAATCTGCAGCAACATCCATGGTCCACGCCGTCATTTGCAGAATTGCAGTGCCTCCACCTCTGTACTGGTGACATATTCCAATTGCATTTCATTTTGTCGCTCATATTCAGATTAGTACAGCCTAAAACTGTTGGGATTAAATTGCATCGCTAAATTGCGTGGATTAACTCAATATTCTACATGATGATATACACATCTCAGTCATTGAACTGTTTAAGCTTAGAAGATGCCCAGAGAAAAAGAAAAAAATTGACAGGTTATTGCACTCATTTACTTTGGCAGAAATGCAGAACAATGAATGAACTTCATATTTCCTCATGTTGGCTTCTTTCTACGGTATGTTTTAGCTATTAAACATTCTTTAAAGAGAGAAAAGAATATACATGTGATAACATGCATTCACCCTCTTGGATAAACTGGGAATGAAGGTTGTGCTTGTGTTTATAACAAGAATAGAATGTCAAAGTACCAGGCTAGTCATCCATATTAACGGGGCATTAACAAACTGATCCATAAGGAATACCACCAAGCAAAGAAACACTGTACGCTGCACATCTATATCTTGCTGACATTAGGAAAATTAATAATGACGGATTCTGAGTAATGTACTAGTAGTAGTAACAGGTGGCAAGCTCAGCCACGAAGTGAGGCGCGGGGTACAGCAGGTAAGCCCAATTCATCTTCACCCTGTCAATATCAATCATCATTTAACCAACATGTTAGTGTCCCGTACAAAACATTTTGTATTTCCATCGGCATATCGTGTTTATATATATATGAAGAAGATATGAGTGCAAGTACACTTTAATGCTTAGGTCCTTAGTAATGTTTAAAGTCTGCAATTAGTAAAATTGTGGCAAAAATTACTGATTTACACACAAACACTACCTAAAATAATATCTCAAAAAGCTAAAAAGTATATATCTCAGCACAAAAAAAAACTCTTGTACTACTTATTTACATTATCAGCCTTATCAACCTGCACAGTGACAATATTTAGTGTTTGGTGATCAGCCAAATAGTAAGCCACAAGTCCACAACTACAGGCTTCTAAATGGGCTTTTAAAGTAAGATCTGCATTCGAGATGCATTATTGGGGGCTCAGGGCTTTAGAGAATCGGAATTCATATTATTTCATACCTGATTGTTAGCTATAGGAGCATGGCCGG